GTTACTAAATATTTGACGCAAACTACATTTGCGATTTTCTTTAAAAAATTTTATAAAAATGTAATTAATTGATATTAGTTATAAAACAAGTTAAAAAATCGAAATAAATTCATTATTAAGCAACGTCGGATTTGCTTTTCCGGAGTTATATTATATATTCAAAGATTCGTTTTTTTAAGTTGAAGCGGATTATCATATAAAATATACGTGCGTTAATATTAATAGGTGATTTTACATAATAATTTATGTAACATTTTTATGCAACGTAAGTAAATTTTCTTTGCATGCAAACCAAAGTCACACGCGAAAAACGTGACACTTGATTATATATCGTCATACATCACCTTTGACCGTGTTACTTTTGGATATCTAAAAAATACAGAAGCGCGCTCAGAGTCTCAAAGTTCGAACATCGACAATATTACGCTATGCTTTATTGCTCCACTATTTGCTATGCAAATAAGAATTGAAAGGTCATTCACAAAAAGAAAAAAAGAAGCAAGAACGTCGTCTCAGCGCGTCTGTGAACATCGCACGAGTTTCGACAACATTAAATATGCACTTAACAGTCGCAATTAACACTTCAACCGGTAATAATTCCATAACGTGCTGAATTCATTATTATTTCATCGCCATAACCATCATAAAAATACATAACATGAATCTAAACTTCTAAACCGGTGCCGATTTTTTATATTAAAATCTCTTTTTATATTTAATACTATTTAATATACTAGATTCGTAGTGTTTATTTCGTAGAAAGTTTCCTTAGAGATAGAATTATTTTTTAGAAAAATCAAACTACATATTCCTCATTTTTATCTAGAAAGTATGTTTAATATGTAATCATTAATATGTGTAATATCAAACATAAAACGAAGAATGTATCGATCGGGCCTAGTTTCGTACTGTGAAAAGATCCGTGGAATTTAATAATCTGGTTATTAATCGCATCTCTTATAATATCTCTGCAAGTATGATAAGAATTTAACGTCGTCATGGAAATCCGAGAAAAATACTTATCTAAAACTTATTGTTAGCTTCATGAATTACACAGAGACAATAAATATCGTCTATAAAAATTTTTTATAGACGTTAACGGAACGCGTAAGATACTTCTTGAAAACATAGGCTGTTTTTATTACAAATCTTTAGGCATAATAATCATAATATTATGATTATTTCTCAAGAAATTGCAGAAGAAACGCTATTAACCTTTCTGTCTCTTTGAAAAAATTTACAACTTGTGAGCGATGTAAAAAGAGCATAATTATCGTTATCAAAGGCATCGTGCTCGCGGGAAATAATAAAAGTCTCAAGTCTGACGAGTCTCAACCTCGCTGATAAACTTACGTATGCATATATGCTAAGTGCCCGACTCAACATTCTGAACTTTTGCGAGAAGATTCAGCAAACGAGAGAAATAGAAAAGAATAGGAGGGAAAGAGAGTAACCGCGTTTTAGACGGCGATGTGAAAGGTGCAGTTAATACGACTGCAGCCGGCTGAAGAGATGTTGACGTTAATCGGCGGTCTGATCGTCGTTTATTTCTTCTACGTTCTAATCTTCAGAAAAAATGGTAAATATCTTATGATTAAACATATTCTCTTTCAATTTCCTATTTCTCCTATTATCCCATTTCAAGTAATTATTTTATAAATACATATTGAAAAATATAGAAAATTTATGACGTTAGAAAAGTTAAAAATATTGAAAGCATTATTTCATAAAAATAAATAAAATAAAGCTGAATAGGACACCTGATTTTTGCGACGAGTAAAATGATTACAACGAACTCCACTTGAACTGTTCATTGTAATCAACTTGCTCACACTATTTTTAAGTATTGATCAATCGTTGCTATCGTAAAATATCATTTTATCAATATTTGTTACAAGGAAAGTACGTTATACCACCATCGATATACCACAATCTTTTCGCTGCAAATAGAATTTTATCTTCTTATCTCTTAAATAATCCAACGTAGATAAATGAATGAATGCAATAATGACGAATTATTACAACATAATAGAAAGATATAATTGCAATTAATATTGTGTATTAATCTATAATAATATCTAAAAAAATATATCTCGCTTTTGTTTGTCATGTTTACCTTTTCATTATTAATTATCTATTTTATAGAGTGAATAGCGAAAAATAGAATATAACGTATAAGAATATATTATACTTCACTTTCTATTTAATTATTTTCAATTTCTGTATTATATTCGTCTTTGTACTTTCTCTACGCCGACTCTATGCCACACATTTATTTCCAGGCACTTATCCGAATGTACAAATTTTTTTTCTCATTCATTGTACATCAAGAGTCCCCGAACTTTCGCACGAAAATCGCATCGTCGTTCTCGCGACGCGCATCCTCTTGCGAGGTACTGCCGTTCTCTCTCCACGCAAAACTGGTCCAGTAACCTCTTCTCGAGATGTCCGCGCGCGATCGACCATTTATAACGTCGCGATCGAAGGAAGGCGAAAAAGAGGAAATGCCTTGGCGCAACGGTTTTACGACTTCCGTTACCCGGATTTTTACGCGTGAAGTTCGCGCGCGCGGTATTGAATGAACACTGAATTTCTCCGAGGAGCGAGTTTCCCACATAAAGTACGCTCGTTACCGAGTTTGCGCGAAGCTTACCCGCCGAATTATTTATGCAATTACAAACATGATTCTCTATCTGTAAATCTTAAATTTATAGAGTATTGTCTTACTAATATCGCATTATGAGAAAGACGGCGGGAAGTTAATAAAAATTCAATGTTTGTAAAATAAACTGAACAGGAAACTAAAGTCGCTGTTTTTAAGGTTGTTCCTATAATCCAAAAATTGAATAGTCGGAAGCAATTCGATAAAACATAAAAATTTGTTAAACAAAGTGAAAATATATGCAGAATTTTAAATCACAAAAATAATTGTACACATTATGCAAATCATTATATGATTTTAATTGACGTTAATCAATCGTGCGTCAATGATCTTGATTGTTGCTTAGCAACATCCTTTCTTCTATAAATTATACGTTAGATTGCGATCGCGTGAACGATAACGTCGAGGCTCATTCTCCCAGTTCGATCGTTCGCAGCAGGAAGACTCGATTATCGTAGATTAATTATGCGTGATGATTATTAAATATTCCTGCACGTTACGTTACTGCTTACGCATGACCGCAATATACATATTTAATGTAGTCGCACGAGCAAAGTAACAGATCAATCGAAGGCCAGTGACGGTTACCGGCCTTATAGTCATTAACAGATGTCGAGAAGGCGATTTTGCTTGTTAAAGAAACCTTTTCTATACGCCGACTAATAATACGAATGGCGTTTGAGACGGCCGGATCGCACGCGAAATACCTGTAGTCGACCTTCACCTTCACGCGAGATCAAGGCTGGATGGTCTCACGAAGATAGGATCCCTGGATCGATTATACGTATACACAAGAAGTGTCTGCGATCTCCACGAGTCGAGAGAGAGAGAGAGTTGTTCGTGCTTAACGCGTGTGTTTATTTGTATATAATTCAGTCTTACAGGTTTATTCATATAGATAATGTCGTAAGAAGCAACGCACGCTTCTTTTCGAAAGATTCTTGAACTGATTTGTAATTAATTTGTTAAAAAAAAAAAACGTTTTAAATTTTTGTAAAAATTTCAAATAAATTACTTATCGGAAACTTTCACAGAACACGAAAATCGCGAGTTTTATTTTTGTTAGTAATGCTGATAAAAATTTTCAGAATTTTCAAAATGCGTGAAAAATATCCTTCTGCTTTTTTTCTCTTTAATGATTATTTAATTAAGATCTACCATATGGCGCATCATGCGTGTTACTCGTAAATCAATCAATAAATATGCAAATATTTCTGAAAGTGAGAAAAATTCTGGATTCTAAGAATATTTAAATAAATCCAGAATTGCACAAATCGAGATTGCGATGATGAAGCTAGTCGGGACACACGGTGAAAATGATGGAGTAAAAATCGTCGCCGCGGACGCGGGTCGTACTTACGAGTTTCCCGCGGAAAGAGTTCAGGAGGTCGGCAAATTTCACCTGGCGGCCGCGATCCGCGGCCGGACGAGTACGCAAAAGGAAGAGAAAGATATGAGAAGAGACGGGATAAAGTCGCGAGAGTCGTCGACGAGAGGAGTGGTCGCGCGCCGTAAGGACGTCGGGCATGCATCGTCAGCAAGGTCGCGTCGGAGAAATTGCGACGGGGAAGAGCGGCGGCATTCGCGCGGCGAATGCCGACTGCATGTACCGCCGTTATCTCGCCGTGACTCGATCATGCCGAAGAAAGTGCGGCCGCTGATGGCGATGTTTGTGCGCTCACTATACCCCGTTTACTATTCCCGTTCGCAAGGTGCGCTCACTCGGCCACGATGAAGTGACGACAGTCGCTCGGAACTTTCCGTGGAAAGCGCGATCGATCCATGGGATCGTCGATCGAACGCGAGTAAATAATATTCGGAAACTGACGAAGTCGTACTTGAAATAGTTCAAAATAGCTGTGAAAATATTAGAAAATTTCCAACTTCTTTATCAAACGGAGATTTCGTATTTTTTATGTCGATATTTTCACGTGTAACGTTTATATTAATGATGTCATAAATGGATGGATTATGCAAAAATGTAGTTAAATAATTAAATGCTCAAGATGAAGAAAACATGATGACGTCATTTCGCTGGCAAAGTCTGCAATTAATTTATCAAAGTTGGTGCGCTTAAGTTTTTTTTTTATAATTATGAATAATTTAGAAATTAATTTATAATTAAAAACTGATGTGTTAAGCGTCAGAATGGCAATTTTAAATGTAATACTCAAATTTAGAAATATCCATCAATATAACATGGATATATTTTTATATCACATACTCGCAGTAGTTATAGACATTATGTGATCAGCCCCCGGAATACATTTTCATCATTGATTATTGCACAAAAATATCGGTCGAGATTCTATATTCATGTTCTTCCGATTTATTTCAGACAAACCATCTACGGATCCGCCAGCTATGGCGCACGGGGCTCTCAGAGAGATCGTTGAACGAGCGGTCGAGGAAGCTCGGAAGTTACCGGGATTGAGTGCGGACACTGAGAATCCTCGAGAAGGACGTGCCATTGCGGATAATAGCTACGAGGACCTCCTCGCCACCGCGATACTCAATAAGGTTCTTTGAATTGGCAAAATATTTTTTCACTAATGTCTCTCATTGATTGCTCCTCAAGTTATTAATCATTAAAACACGCATCATATTTCTCAAATTGATTATAAAAAATTAAGATGCGCATGAT